GAGCTTCTTTTTATTACAATATCTTTTTAAAGTCATTCGATTTATGCTAAACTTGCGAGCTACAACATTCACTGGTCTGCCCTCTAAAACTTCATTAACAGCTGATTTCATTGCATCACATGATATAGCAACTCTGTCTGTTTTTTTTTTCTATAACTAACCATTTAAAGATCCGAAAATTTAAAAAAAAGTAAAATAAAATGATTGTTAAAAAAAAATATTTTATTTAATAATATTCTGTAAACTAATTGTAAAACTAAAAACTAATGTTATTAATATTAGTTTTTAACACTATTACATTTTAAAAATGAAATTTTAAAAGTTTATATAAAGAGTTTTTATTCGTCATAAGTTTAAATGTATAAAATTTAAACAAAAAATTTAAGTCATAATATAAGTTATATGGGGCACTTTGATCCTCCGATCAATGAGCCCCGCATAGTCAACGATCAATGTGCCATATTAGGTACAGTTGATATATTGATGCCAATAACTTCTATAAATACAGTAACCAACTCAAAAAAACAAATTTATTATAAACTTAACACATATGAGTTTACAATAAATTGGTAGTAAAGTCATACGGAAATCTAATTAAAAATTTATTTGAATTTGTTTACAACTTTCAAAAATCACTTTTCATGGTGAAAAACACTCTTTTCAATTTTCTTAACGCTGAAGTTGATCTTATCAAAAATTATTACGATTAAGCAATGAAGGGAAATTCACAGCTATCTTTCTTACTGCAACATTGCATGGGGAAGTACGAATTACGGAAAACTCAAAAAACTTTATAGTAAACAAAAGCATGCTTGTAGGATTGTATTTGGGGCAAACAGAACTGTTTATTGCGAACCACTATTAAATCGTCTCAAGGCCTTAAACATTTATAAACTAAACATTTACCAAACATTACTTTTCATGTTTAAAATGAAACATGGAATATCTCCACTTATATTTCAATCTTATTTTAGCGAAATATCTCATAAGTATCCAACAAAGTTTTCAGAGGACAACCTTATTGTTCCGAGAATAAATTTAAAAATAAGTTCTTATCAAATTAAATATCGAGGACCTTTTTTATGGAAAAATTTTATTAAAAACTTGAATAAAGAACACTACTCTTTAGAAAAATTTAAAGCAGTTTCTAAAAGAATCTTACTTCAATTAGATTTTAATTCAATAGACTTTAAGTATTTTTTTTAAAAGGAAATTTTAAAATAGAAACAAACGCTCCCATTATCATTAAATATATTTTGTTATATGTATCAAATATATTTGTATTAGTATACAAAACTTTCTTTACTTTTAAATTTTAATATAAATGTCATTTTATTATTTGACAAAAGTTATGTACTCTTTAACGTTTTTTTGTATATTTTATTTATATTTGTTTATAAACACGGGCAATTTGTAAACGGGGCTCGGCGATAAGACAGTCATTGTCTTCTTCTTGCTCCGGCCAATTTTTATAAATGTAATATGTCTATATTGTAAATATATGAAACGGCAAAAAAAAGAAAAAAAAAAAAAAAAAAAAAAAAAAAAAAGGGTAGTATAATGGTTACTTAAATTGCAATCTCTGTTAAATTAAGGCAAAAGTAAACGAGTAAAAGCTAAAAGATCATACTGCCCCAGCGATCAATGCGCCCCCATCTCCCCTACTTTTAACATATTTCCATTGATAGTTCTATTAAGAGAACAGCGTGATAAAAACTTCAGAATTTTTGAAATAAAAGGCAAAAAAGGTCGCATGTTCCATTATTACCCAGTGATAAAAAGCAAACACTAATTTTTAAAGCTCCTGTTATTTATTCTGAAAAGAATATCGGGTACACAATTATAAAAGTTTGGAGCGTTGCATTTTTAATATCTGTAAACAAAGAAAATCAAGCATTAAAGCTCGATAAATTGTGTGATATTTTAAATTGTAAGAGTCAAATTTCTGATTGTAAAAATTTGAATGCAAAGTTATTTGTAAACAACAAGTTCATATTACAATCAACTGCTTTAAGGAGTATAAAATTCCTATTAACATATATATAACTAAAAATCTGGACAAAGTTTGAGTAAATATTAAAATATAAAGGAATAATTTAATATATTTGCAATCACTTCTATTTTGTTGCAAATTTAATTCTTTAAATGTATTATTAAAAAAAATTATTTAGTAATAATTAAAAATGAAAAAAAAAGACTTGTAACAAAGACTCCCTAAGAAAACGAGTGTACGCCTTTTTGGATTTGCATCTAGATGAGAATAAGAGCTTTATTGTAAATCATTTTCAAATGGAAAACATACCAAAATCTACTATTTATAATATACTTCAAAGAAAGGAGAATAATATAGGACCAGAAGGAAAAGCTGGAAGTGGTCGCAAAGCAAAAAAGATGTCTGCAAAAGAAATAAAGCGTCTTAAAAATTCCATTGATCAAAAGGATGGTATTTCACAGCGTGGTCTTGCAAAAAGATTCCATGTATCACAATCGTACATATGCAAAATTAATCACAAAAAAACTAGTATTCGTTATCTTAAAAAAACTAAAACACCTAAAAGAACACCGACTCAAAAAGCAGCTGTTCGTTCAAAGTGCCGTAGATTGGTTTCGATTTTTAGGAAAAAAGTAATTATTATTGACGATGAACCGTATTTTTATTTGAGCAACACCAATATTTCCGGAAATGCTGGATTCTTTTCTTCTGATATAAATACAGAATCTAATAATGTAAAATTAAAAAGGAAAGACAAATTTGAGCCAAAATTACTTGTTTGGATTGCATTCTCGACAAAAGGAATCTCTCAGCAGTACATCGCTCCATCAGGCCAAGCAAAATGTCTTGTTAGATTAGAGAAATTCATTGAAAAATATCATAAAAATGACAATGTTGTCTTTTGGCCTGATCTAGCTTCGTTATATTATTCGCGTAAAGTACAAGGTTATCTAAAAGCTGAAAATATTGAATTTGTACCAAAAGAGCATAACCCTGCTAATGTGCCAGAATTACGTCCAATTGAAGATTTTTGGTCTGAACTTAAGAGATTAGTGTATAATAAAAAGTAGCAAGCTGAAAATCTAGATAAACTTAAAAAGCGGATTGAGTTTTCAATTAAGAAAATCAACATAGAACGTGTACATCGGCTAGCTGCCGCAACATTTACAAAAGTAGACACCGCTCGTCGTCATGGAATGAAAAACTCAAAACTTTTTTAAAATTTTATTATTTAGATATATCATTCCGTTAAAAAGTTTTGAATGGGAATTAAAACTAAGTTATAACAACAGAAACTATCATATTTGTTGAATATAAACTATATGATAAAAGGTTGAACTATCTCATATGCGGATGTTTTCATACTAATAGACTATCCCTCAGACATCTAATAGTTTAGTTAGACGGAAAAATACTCTCAAACAATAAATGGTCCGGTGAATTAGGAAAGCTGCTGAATAGGGTCAGAGATATTGGTGCAAACAAAAACTTTAAAAAAGTTACTTTAGTTAAACCATTTATTTTTTTGCCGACAAAATACTTAAATTTTACATCTTTTGGCTGATTAGGCAAAGGCTACTACCATGGATACAGAATTGTAACAACAATAAGATCTGGAGTGTTAACTGAAAATTTATTAAACCTTGAAATAGTTGTTTCTTATTCCAGATGGCTCACTACAGCCAACTATTTCGGTCAGTTGTGCATTTTAATTCATTTTTTAACAGAAAAAAAAACTTAGAAATCTATGTTTAAATATTGAATATATAGGTGGTGTGTATTTTCCTTGCTGGTTTCAAATAAAGGTAAAACGTTCCTGATTAGATAGACTTCGGCATATTTAATTCCAATTGAAACAACTATAATATCAATAACAAAAAAAAAAGACCTTATTACAATAGTAATAAAAACAGTAAAAAGATCTGCATGGTTTGAATTTAGTGAATGTTGAAATGAAAAAAAATTTTGTATTCCGAAGAGGAAGAGGAACGAAAGTTGTGAAAAATGAATCCATCCACTTCATACAGCTTCTGAATCCATCCACTTCATACAGCTTCTGAATTCATCCACTTCATACAGCTTCTGAATCCATCCACTTCATACAGCTTCTAAATCCATCCACTTCATACAGCTTCTGAATCCATCCACTTCATACAGCTTCTGAATCCATCCACTTCATACAGCTTCTGAATCCATCCACTTCATACAGCTTCTGAATCCATCCACTTCATACAGCTTCTGAATCCATCCACTTCATACAGCTTCTGAATCCATCCACTTCATACAGCTTCTGAATCCATCCACTTCATACAGCTTTTTTATACAGGAGATAATATTCAGTTTGGAAATAATTCAGTAAGAAGTCGCAAAACCCCATTCATGAACACTAACGCTGGTAAATTCACTGATCTAATTAAGTGGGAAAACTCTGTATACGGACCACTTCTTACCACAAGCCTCAAAACCCATAAAGTCAGAAAGTATTTTCACAAGCCAATGGCTGTTTCAGACTGGATATGCTATTCCCAATCAATCGAACGTTGTGTTATGCACACTCTAAAAAACGTTGTGTTAAAACAACACAAGCTTGTGTGTTCCGCAACACAAAACTTCTGTCATATATGAACAACACAAGACGATGTTAATTTAACATAATGCCTTGTGTTAAACAAACAACACAAGGCATTATGTAGAAATTTATGCGTGCGTAATCTTGCGGTTAATCGCAAAGTTAGTTTTTTGTTTATTTTTACTCATAAAACACGTTTTAAAACATATTTTACGCAGCAATGTTGAACTAAATGACTAAAAAAAGTCGCGACGATTTTTAATTAAAACTTAAATTATAGAGGAGGTATGCTTTCATTTTATTGAGAGTTTGTTAAGAAATAGAATACAAAAGTATGTTTAATAATTTCATTTTATCATCTGAACCAAGTTTACATCATATATTAGTATATACTTTATCCATTTATTTTAAATAATATGTTATGTTTGTAGTTTGAAATATATTTTTAAAATTTACTGAAAATATCGTGCATATTTTTAATTTATAGTTTCACATAAAAGATTTGCAGTAAAAAAAAATTACAAAGAAGAAGATAAAGGCTAAAATTACTAAAATGTCCTAAATTACTGTCTAAAATTTGTCAGCATCAGTTTGAGGCTTTATTGTTTCTGAATATACTACATATGAGATATCTCTTCGAATAATTTACGTGCTTTAGTATACGGAACAGAACTAGGTAGTTTATAAACTAATTCTTGAAAGAAATTGTATAAAATTTGTAGTTGCTTTGGATATTCAAGATTAAATACAAAAAACGACTTGAAAAGACAGTCAAAGGCAACAGAAACTTTCGAAGATTTAACTATAATTGCTTTTCCATTGCATACAACAAAAAAAGACGATCCACACGACAAAATGAACGGTTGCTGTTTTGGATTTGAGCGATTAAGGAACATCTCGAGTGTCTCGCCGTCCTGAAAAAAAAAGTATGCAATTTTTTTAAGTTTGAAGTAAATCTAATCGAACAAAAATTAAACACAAGTAAAATAACGAGATAAAGAAGATTGAACAGTTGTTAGTATAATTAAATTTAATACTTCCTTAAAATTATATACTAATGGTATACTAATAATTTAAGAAACAAATGAGATTTCGAAATAAATCTTACCTTTAGTTCTTCAATTAGGAAATAATTGCTGCACCTGCTGAAACACAATATTTTCCCATAGTTGGCAAAAGATAAACAAGGGCTTTTAAAGATTTTAGTACTAATGCATCTAAACAAAATTATAATATCATTTACATAGATACAAACATAACTTAATAAATATAACTTTTTCGTTTAAGATTTTTTTGAGATTTACCTGTATTGCTGTTCCCTTTTTTTGGAGATTTACCTGTATTGCTGGAGATTTACCTGTATTGCTGTTCCCTTCAGTATCTATGTCACCTATAATGTCAATGCATTTGCCAGTCAGCCTGCAGTATGCAATTATTTGTTTTAAAATTTTTGTTTCCAATAAAACTGAAATATTTTCTACATAACTTCGATTAATGGATTGGAATTCATCATTTAACTAAATAGTACAAGCAAATGTTACAAATTATTTTAATGCAAATGTTACAAATTAATTTAATGCAAAAATTGAAACTACCCCTCAAAAATTTGTCTAGCCAGGAATTTTTTTTTTTTTTACCAACAATGGAGTGTCCATAAATCTTGGAAATTCCTCAAGTATACTATTAGCTGTCGGTAAATCATTTCGGATTCACAATTGCCTGCATAAACATGATTTGTTCATCAGTTCTACAATCTCATTTTCGTTTCGGTCTGTATAAATAAGATGCAACAATTTTGTCTTTATTAAATCATATTCTTCGTTGCTTATTTCTGCTGGGTCATCTCCAACAGCAATAAACCCATCACCTAATAGTAAAAAAATATTACAAAACAAATAATATTTTACAGAACACATAAAGTATAAAACTATAAAGATAATATTTATACTAAATTACATTATGTATAAGCCCTGTATTATGTCCTATTTTTAAGAAAAGATTTCCAATTTTAAAAAATATGGTATTAACATGAGCATTATAATATAAGCATAGTATAAGCATTAAAAATGTGTGTTAAAACTTTTTATAATTTTTTAAATATTTATCTATAAAAATGCGTTATGAATTTACTGGTAATAAATGCTTTATAAAATTATCAAATGTTTAAAAACGTCTTTTTAAATAGGTTATAGAAAAATACTCGGCAATTAACTAGGTAATAAAAAATTAACATACTCTTTTTACTGCGAGAACAGTATTTTTTTACATCTGCTGAGTAACAACGATAAATTTCTCTAAAACGGTTAGTGAGAAAACCCTTTGATGTACCCGGACAGTAGTATAATTCCTATTTTTTTAAATAAATTATATCTTTAACGAGAAGTAAACGATATCAAAATCAATCATATAACATTAACAAGTTTTGTGAAATAATAAACTAAGTAATAAACAACAAACAAATCTTAAATTTATTTTTACAATAAATTGAATTAATAATAATACAAGAAGAAAATTTGTTGAGACATTAAAGTTAGAATCATGTAAAGATGGTGCAGTGTGTTCGACACGTTTAAAATATTAGGTAATGAAAGTATAGTCTACTACATAATTTTGAAAAAAAAAATTGAAAAAAAAACAAAACAACTTACATTTCCATTTCCGCTTCGACATGCCCTAAACTTAAAAGTTGAAACAATACTTTTTGCCATGGCTAATTGATGCTCTGGTGGAGGATAGATGTAGAAACTATTACAGTTTAAACGGAATAGATATAAATATATAGTAAACTAATTAATTTTATTAGCTATACAATTATGTTACTTATATTAATTATGTTATTTATAATAAATTAAATTAATCACATAATACAATTAACATACTTAATGGAACATTTTTTTTTTTTTTTTTTTTTTTTCTCTCGAAGTTTTACATCTATGTTTTCACACTAGTGTGGTTTGGATGGTTCTACAAAGTGACATAAATGCCACTATGTAAGAGTTGAAGCAATTTTTTACAACCGGATGCCCTTCCTGACGTTAACATGAAACAGGTTGTACTGGATTTCATGTTACCAGTAGCAGGATAACCTAACATACATATTTTAATAAGATAATTATGTAATCATGTATTATAATTATATATACTTTTAAATAATATTATATAACTTACTTTCTGAAGCAACCAATTAAGTAAGAGCATGCTACTTTGACAAGAAGACGATGCAAGCGATCATCCATTACAGCTTTTTGTGCCTCAATAATGATGCTATTTTTTAAAGGATGATTTTCTATTGCATCGGTTATTGACACAACCTAATAGAAGAAACCAATACAGAAGTTTTTGAATTAATCAACTAGTCAAAGTGTATAACACTATTGCAACTATAATCTTCTAACAAACATATTACATTTTAATTCAAAAACTGACAAGAAATATTTATACAAACTGAAAATTAAAAAAATATCTATATAACCTAAATAAAATATAAAAATATATTTAAAAAAAATCAACAATAAAATAAAAAAAAATGTTAAAATATAATAAAATATTAGGTACCATCTTTTTTGGCCCACATGACTTGGTACATGCAATGGGAGTTACCACAGATGTTTCTATTGTGCATCATAAAGTAAATCATATAACAAACTGTTACTATTTGCATGTCGCATCAATAAAAAATGACAAAAAATGAAATTTGTGTACTAAAAATAAATTGTATTAACATACCAATAAGGTCCACATATTGCGAATAAACAGGCTTAGAATTTGAAGTTGCTAAAGCTGCTTCTAATTTACGTCTCTTAAGAGGAGGTAGTACATTAGGCAGGTCTGTTTCAACGTTTAAAAACAGCAAATCTTGCATTGAACTAGCACCTAGCTCTACCAAATGAGGCAGGAGACGATTAATATCCTCCACTGGATATTAATCTGGACAATGCAAGATTGTCCCCAGACCACATAACTACTGCACCATATATGCAAATGTAATTTCCATTTATATACAATTTAACTCCCTTCTCTAGAGCTACCAAGTCCTTTATTAATGACTTTAAAAGCTTTTCATATCCATACTTTGCAACATCAGCTGAAAAACAATAAATTACAGGATATATGTTAGTCAATTTAGAGCATTTCTTTATGTTAACATTTTTGATGGACAAATAAACTGCACAAACTTTGTGAACTTTAGTTTTTGATCCTAAAGGATTTACTGTTTCAAAATCATCACAGTATAGTTGAAGCTGAAGAGCATCTGGATGTTTCTTGTATAAAGGATGATTCTTATATTGTTCTGCATCACTATAACAAGTTAATTTATTTAATTTTGTTAAAACGTTATTATCTATTTTGTCAACGGAGTACTTTGAAATCACCATAGAAATGCAGGCCTTGTTTTAAAGCGTTACGCCTAGAGCGATTTACGTACGCCTTAAGCGCTTTTTACGTACGCGTAGAGCTGTTTTGGTTAAGCTACTTTTTATCATTTTTTAACTTTTAAATTAGCGGTAACATAAAAGAAGTAATTAATTTTCAAAAAAACCACATTAACTTTTAAATAACGATATGTAAAGGTAAAATTTAAAAAAAAGAATTTACTTTAAAATTAATTGTTGTAACTTTTCATCGCGATATATCTTTCCTTTTTATAGCAATTAATTTGACGCTAAACTTTTTATCCAAATATTTAGCAACATGAAAAATTGTTTGTCAATCCTTAACTACAAATTTTTTGCAATGTTTTTAATAAAAAGTAGTAAAGTTTTTAGTAAAAAACTTTTAAAAAATCTATACTCCATATTGATTAATACAGAATATAAAAGTTTTTTGTAATATAGATTTTTTATGAATTTTTTACTGAATTTATAATAAAAAACATTTGCAAAAAAATTTGTAATTAAGAATTGACATTTTTTTAAATAAAATCTCAAAAAATGTCTTAATATTTTTGTTATCATGATAACAAAAATATCAAGACATTTTTTCGAGATGTTAAAAAAAATGTCTTTGCTTTTCTTATTAGTTTAATAGTATATAGCTTATAGTTAGTTTAATAGTATATAGCTTTTCTTATTAGTTTATTAGTATATAGTTTAAGTTATGCGGGAGGAGGGGGTCGGCACAGAAAAAAAAATTACCTGTTACTCGCAATATTTGAATGAAGACAATTTGTTAAAATTCTTCTGCGTGCGATTCAATAATTTTTTTTTGTCATAAATCAAGTTATAATATAAGGTAAAGAAATCATGACTACAACATCCGCTGATGACACTAATATTACGTTGAATATATTTATATAACGGAGGTTTTATTATGCACGCGCACATTACAGGTTCCGTTAAATAAATACTAAGGCACGTTTGAGTTTAATGACAGTCTCCATTTTTTACTAATGTATATGTATTTTTCTTTATAAAACAAAACAAACTAGTATATAAAAACCTTGTATATTTCTATTATCTCTAAATTATTTAAAGTTCGAATATGGATTGTATTTTGAAGGACAAAAGATTTACTTTAAAAACTTTTAAATCTTGGGACTTTGCCGATACGATGATCACAGAAAAAGAGAAGACTTACGTTATTAAAATCAAATGTAAGTTATGTGATCTTCATCAAAATAAAATATTATCCAAAAACAATAGTGCCGTAAGGGCAACTGCCCAACGGTTTATAAATAATACAAGTCATGTTAAAATATTTTAACATGTTACTATATTTTAATTAAGTTGATATATAATTAAAAATAAAAATATAGTTCAATAAATAAATTAAATTTATTCTTAACAAAGATTACCTCATATTTATTCTTTTTTTTTTTTTTATTAAATTAAATTGCTTACAAACGAAAAAAAAAAAAAGAGTTTTGTAATTATACGTAGAATGAAAATACTTTTGAGTTTGTTTATAAGTTAAGGAACTTAATTTTTAATAAACAAATTTTTACGAACGTTTATTATAAACAGATACGATTCAAATTATTAAATATACTTAAATTATTTCAGTTGAGTATTTTTATAAGTTTGCACGATTAAAGTTTGGCGTACAAGTATTTGTTTTTTTGTTTTAAGAATAATTAATAAAAGAGTTTGCATAATTAAGACTTTCATATTTAATTTTTTTTTTTTTTAATTTCCTAAAATTAAAAAAAAAAAAAAGATTTAATCGTTGAAAACAATTTTTCTCTATAGCTCTGTTTCTTTGTGATTTGTTTAAAAAGTTAAATATTTTTACAATAACATAAAAAGTTTATGAATTAAATTCCTGGCGAACGCGTTCTAAACTACGTATCAAAAATACGCTTCAAAGCAGACAAAACTTTTTTATATTTTTATAAAACGCAAGTTGAAACGCTTTTAAAAACTTAAAAAATATTTAAAAACTTAAATTTTTCTTTGCTAGTCAAAACAAAATCGTTGTTTAAATATAATTAAAAATCATTAACATGGGTTTGTGTTTATCAATGTTAATATTTTTTGTTTACTCTAGAAATTTTTAAAAATAAAAAAAATCATTATTATTTTTTATTCAATAACGATTAAAAACAATTATTCAAAAACAAATTTCAGAAAAAATTAGTATATATAATTTTTTTTTTTCACTAAATAATATTGAACTAAAATTAATAATAAAATAACAATTGAAAACATTACAAAATTTTCATAATAAATTTATATTTAAAACGTTTATAGTTTATATTTGAGTTAATTGTTAAATTGAATTAGTTTGCGGTTATTTATTTATTGCGGTAGTTAAAACACTTAACGCCTATAAAAAAAAAATAAAGATAATTTTATGACGTCAAAATCGCGTTAAGCTAATGCATTAAGCACTTTTTTATTTAAAACAAGGCCTGAAATGGTTTCTAGAATAGGAATATACTGCATAGTTTCATTTCGATAACTCATTACATTATTTTTATAAACTTTATGAAGCATCTCAGATCTGAACCCAACAGTTATTTCAATAGGTGCAACCATCCCTTTTTGTTGTAAGTGTTATCTTTGCAGGTAACTAGATGCAATTAAACTACACTTTACACACTCACATTCAATATCATTTAGGACATCACTTACTTTGCCAGCATCTGTTTCATCATTTTGAATTGTTTTTTGTACACTTTCAATAACTGTGGATAAAATATTTTGAATACTTTTACCTACATACTGAATTATAACTTCACTTGTGTTACGACATCTTAGAGTCATTAAAACATCTAAAATCATTTCTTTTATCTTTTCCCCATTTAATTCACTTGAAAAAATAGTATTTCTGTTATCTTTATCAATATGTGCTGCTGTATAAATACCTAGCTGATCCATTAGCTCACCATTGCTTTCCATAGGAGAAATATTTATATCGTTATATTCCAAATGAGGGTCAATTGGATGCTTTCTATATAAATGAATTTTAAGGGAATGGACACTGTCATATGTTCTGCAACAGCCACCTTGTCTACAAGAAATTTTACAATTTTGTGTTGAAGTAATCCTCGCAGTCGGAAAGTCACTTGGTTATGCAAAATAACAATTGCGCAAGTTGCTACCATATTGGATGGGGGAAAACAAATGATTAATTGAGATAATAAAGCAGGACAATTAGTAGAAAAAAGTGATTTTAAAGAGTTTAAAAAAAGAAATATAGGTTTACGAATATTTTGAAAAATTAGATTTTAACGCTGCAGAAAGGTATATAAATAAATCTGCAAGCCTTGGAATCAACCGATGTCTACACAAGTTCCTCTCAAATACTTGGAAAGATGATCAAACAGAATGGCCATGAGTTCAATACGATAACGTTTATAATTGTTTATTAAAAAATCCTAAAATGTTTTTTTTTGAGGCTATAAGTAATTATGAAGCATTAGATGCTTATAAATACTTTGGCTTTGGGTAGATGCAGGAAGTTTTTCACAAAACATTAGGCTCTAGTTTTGTTGTTTTGAAAACACAAGTTGTCTGGCTTGTGCGTTTAAAACAACAAAACCATCTTAGTCACCAGAGTTGAATGAAAATAATAAAAACATATTACAAAACATATATATATATATATATATATATATATATATATATATATATATATATATATATATATTTGATTTATTGTTTATATTTACACGTAAATATATATATCAAAAATCACCTAAAGACACAACAACCCTTGTGCATTTTAAAGACTTTTATCTTGATTCAAAAAAGCTGTCCTAAAATTTTTAAAAATCTATTTAAAATAGTACAAATTCCATGAGGTGTTACGCATGCGTATCTTGAAAATTCCTCTACACTAGCAAATAATTTTCGTTTGCAGGTAACGCATGCGCTTTTGAATGATATTTTTATAATTTAACACAAACTTGTGTTTAACGGAAGCAACACAAGATCAAGTGTTGATTTTCAACACAAGGTTTTTTACAGTGCAGGATTTTTTTATCCAATTATAAGAATATAATAGAGTATTTAAAATTTTAATAACTAAATTGTTTTTAATGTTTTATACAGGTTACAGAGGCTTGGACATATTCCCATGAGAAGCGAAATGAAAGAGCACAAGTGAGAAGGGGCAAAAATAATGCAACATATAACTTAGTTGAACTCACATATTTCAAATAAAGTTTATAAACTATTATTTGTTAGTTATATGTATATTTTAGTAAAGATATCAGTATTATATAATATATATTATAAAATGTATTAGTATATTATATATTGTTTATTATAACAAAATTTTTTGACGTATTTGTTTTAGAAAAGACAGTGTACCCTTCGCTGTAACATTCGCTGTCTTAAATATGAAAAAATTGATTAATTTTTTTAAAAACAATCTTCACGAAAACCCCCTTAACGTAACTGTTTGAATGATTTTTTAACCAAATATGTTATTTTCATAAAGTTTATATTTAGTTTCTCAATTATTAACTATTAAACAAGTTTCTCAATTATTATTATTAAACAAGTCTGAGTATTCCCTCCAGCAAGACATCTTTTTTTATTTTATTTTTTCCAAATCGGGATTCCCTGTAACATTCTTTACAAAAATGAAATCCTCTTATTTTTAAAATTTGATAAAAACAGGAAAAAACGACGCACTCTACCGTCACATTCTCCATCTTAAATATGAAAAAAAGTGTTTCTGTCTAAAATATAAAAACGTTTTCTTTAATTTTTATAAGTTTTTAAACCAAATATTCAATTTTCATAAAATTAACGTAATAGCTATTGAGCTTATTAAAAATTTTTTACAAGTTTCTTTTTGAAAAATTAAAACTTCCCCGTCACTTAATCATATTTTAGTTATTTTTCTGTTCAAAACACCGCTGACCAACCCACCAAAACATCATTTTTTTATGTTTTTTTACAGATTCCGAAACACGTTAAATTCTTCACCAAAAATAACCCTGGCCTTTAAAAATAAAAAAATAAAAATAAAAAGATCAACACACCCTAATACCACATACATTTAAAATAAACATGTAGAAATTATAATTTCCAGGTTATAATAATAAAAAAAGGAAAAATAAACAAATAAAAAGTACTTATAATAGTTACAAACTTATAGTTACAGTGATAACGATAAAAAATAAGATTTCAATAATAAGAGATAATAATGTCGAAAAGTTAGAATATTTTTCAGAATTTTTTTAAAATTGAGACTGTATTTTTAAAAGAATTTGTAAACATTGGCATAAGTGTAAACTTTAATAAGTGCAAACTGGTGTAAGTGCAAAGCAGTTGCAAAAACTGGCACAAGTGCAAACTGGCATAAGTGCGAACTAGCACAAGTGGGAACTGGCATAAGTTTACTGTCATAAGCCATTTAGCACTTATGCTAGTTTTTTTAACTGCTTTGCAGTTATGCTAGTTTGCACTAATACCAATTTGCACTTATGCCAATGTTTGCAAATTCTTTTAGCGCACTTATGCCAATGTTTGCAAATTTTTTTGGCGCACTTATGCCAATGTTTGCAAATTCTTTTGGTGCACTTATGCCAATGTTTGCAAATTCTTTTGGCGCACTTATGCCAATGTCTGCAAATTCTTTTGGCGCACTTATGTCTATGTTTGCAAATTCTTTTGGCGCACTTATGCCAATGTTTGCAAATTCTTTTGGCGCACTTATGCCAATGTTTGCAAATTCTTTTGACGCACTTATGCCAATGTTTGCAAATTATTTTGGCGCACTTATGCCAATGTCTGCAAATTCTTTTGGCGCACTTATGCCAGTCCAGATTTTGATCTATAGTAATTATTTCCGTTTTATCGGTTTTATAGCAATTATTTCGGTTTTATCGTTTTTTCCGTTTAGTCTTTTGTTTGTTTAATAGCTTTAAAATCTTAGTCACACAATACGCCTGTATGGCTGAGAAGTTAGCTCTCAAAGTTTCTGCAGCAAAGCGTCGTGGTTTGAATCCTTCCAATAGAACTTTTTTTTTTTTTTAACTTTTTTTATTTTTCTAAAATACAAAAGAAAACACTTTTGAAGTTTTATAGATAACATAACATATATACATAACATATGTAAAGATTTTATATATACATAACATGTGAAAGATATTATACACATACAACTAATGAAAAAATTTAAACTTGAGATTTCAAAAAACATCAAAACATTGGTAGAAATTTGTTGCGTTTATGTCAAGACGTATGCACAATGTTATAAATGTTTAGGTAATTACCTAAACATATTTATAACATTGTGCATACGCCTTGATAATATGATACGTCATAATAAGCTGCGGATGGTCTGAAACTAAGTAAAGGAAAAAATTAATAAGCCCGCCCTGCTACTCCAGGTGCTGCTGAGGAGGCAAAAAAATAGCCCGTAGCTAGCAAAACTTTATATCTTTATTTTAACAATTAAAAATTTTTTTTGCTACATTTTTTTTTTTTTTGCTATAAATATATACGCATAGATTGAAAAAATTGAAAATGTTTTGTATAAAGAGGCGAGTTAGACATACCTAGCCCCTAACATAGATGGCAGTTATAACTGAGATACTAACATAGATGGCAGTTGCCGTCTATATTAGAGGTACTTATGTTAAGTGTTTACGCAATCAATAAGGTTAATCCGCACATCTAGGACAATAAAATTACGACTTTCTTTTTTAAAGTAGGAAGATGTTTTTATTCAATCTAGAAACAGGGTAAGAGTTCTAATGAGCTCTAAGAATGCGAATAAAGTACTTAATACTTTTTTTTTCAATTTTTTTTTTTTTGCTCTATAAGTAATGTTTAAATAAATTTAATGTTTAAATTTTTTTTATCATTTATTCAAAAAAAATTAAAGTAAAGAAATAAATTTAAAAAATTGATGGAAATAGTAGATTAAAACTAATTATGACGTTTTAGATACCTAATTGATGACGTTTTTTTATATTAACCCAAACAAATTGTACGAGAATTAAATAAATGTTTTGTATCTGTAGGACCTAATTTAGCTAAAAACATTCCAAATATGATAAATTCAATAAATGATTACGGATAAATAGCTTTGAAAATAGAGGTAGGTGTGAAATAAACTCCCCTAGAGCCGTTTTTAGATCATGGCAACTAGTCTTTTCTAACGCTGGAAAGATTGGAATGTTAAACTGGAAAGATTGGAATGTTAAACTGGAAAGATTGGAATGTTAAACTGGAAAGATTGGAATGTTAAACTGAAAAGATTGGAATGTTAAACTGGAAAGATTGGAATGTTAAACTGGAAAGATTGGAATGTTAAACTGGAAAGATTGGAATGTTAAACTGGAAAGATTGGAATGTTAAACTGGAAAGATTGGAATGTTAAACTGGAAAGATTGGAATGTTAAAATGGAAAGATTGGAATGTTAAACTGGAAAGATTGGAATGTTAAACTGGAAAGATTGGAATGTTAAACTGGAAAGATTGGAATGTTAAACTGGAAAGATTGGAATGTATCTAATTTAAATGACTGGAAGTTTATTATTCTAATGGAGACTGAGACGATAGCAACATATTAATGCGATAGTTTTCAAATTGACAACAGTAACAAAAATGAGAATAGTACATAGCAACTATTAAGTGTAACTTTATTGCGATAATGACTTGAATAATGAACTAATAAAAGTATACCGTTAGCTCGAGATTCTTGCTTAGGTCATCAATGTGAAAGTTTCATGAAAGACTGCAGTCAATCAATACATACCAAGATATTTAATAACTCTCAAAAGATATAACCGTTTATTTTTAATTTTAATTTTAATTTCAAATTTTTTTGAAGAAATTGATTTTTCTCGGCGATAAAAAAAATAAGTTCATTTTTTCCGTGTAAAGACATATTAGGCTACATTTAACCAGTGAATTATACCTTTTAGATACCGAATTTATATTTTTTTATATAAAGACTAATACGATTTGTTGATATGCAAGAGGTTTGTATCATCAGTAAACAGATGAACTGAAGAGAAGTAAACAGTGCTGGTTAGGTCGTTAAAGTAAATTAAAAATAAATGGAGTACCAAGAAAAGAACCTCAAGGAACATCACATAAAACAGATTTATTATTAGAAATAAAATCATTATTAATTACAAATTGTTTTCAATCTGAAAGATATGTTTGAAACCAGTGATTTACAATACCGCGAACTCCATAATGTTCTAATTTAGAAATCAAACTTTACGGTCAACGTTATCAAAAGCTTTTTTTAATAAATAAAAAACACAACAAAATGACCTGCATCAAGAGTCTTTCTGATTTTTACTGTTAATGTTTTGATCAAAAACTTTTTAACCAAATGTTAAAAGCTGCCGTGACACAATGATTTGAATTCTGGCTCAAAACCAAGAAATTCGAGGTTTGATGCCGGCTCTAGCCAAGTCATCAACATCGGTAAGACATTGGAACCTCCTAGTTAAATGATCTACCGTGGTGCTCTGTGATAAGATCACAAGGACTTACCGTGGTGCTCTGTGATAAGATCACAAGGACTTATTACAGAAAAATTGAAAATCATTTGATCAATTAAATGAGTTTAGAAAATTGTAAACTCTAGAATATACAAGTTTTTCAAGAACTTACTAATGTTAGATTTAAGAGATATAGGTCTATAGTTAGTGCATGAAAATTTAGAGCAATTTTTAATTATTGGAATAACACAAGATAATTTTGAAGTATCAGGAAACATTTATGAATGGAGGTAATAAATAGTTTTTTTATAGAAATTTCAGGAATATTTGTTAGATATAATAGTAGTCTATGTAAATTTGGATATTTTATAATAATATTTTCTATAGATCTTAACATTTTTTTGTTGGAAAAGATTGTGCACTTGAATAGATTTTATAATTCTTTTTGTATTCCATGGTTTAAATTGACAGAAGTTGTCAAATTTTCTGAAATAATTTCATTAGTTATTAAATTAAAGAAAATATTATCAATGATTGTAGCAGAGTGATCAGTAATTCTAGCCCGCAAAATAATTATAATCGGAATAACGAGTCTTTAAATAAAGATCGGTCTTAACGCAAGAAGAGCTGTACACTAAAGATATAAAAAGATTACAAAAGGTATTAAAAAATCATTTTTTTTTCTTTAAAAATTTTTCTAAATAATCTATTTAATTCTATAAAAAAAAAAAGATAAAAAAAAGAAATTTAAAAAAACATTCGAAAAAAAACACATAAATTGCTCACAAAAAAATCCACGGATTTTAAAAAAAGTCAGAATAGTGCAAAATTCAGCATATTTCTGCAAAATTTAGCAAAAAGTTAGAACTAAAAACTTTTAAAAACTTCCTTTTTAAAAAATAATAAATATATTTACATATTTATCATAAATTATCATACTAATGAGTCAAACACAACTTATACAAATGTAAAATCGCCTCTTCTGTTACACGAATTCATTTTAAATTGTTTATACCACAATATCCTTAAAATCCCAAATAAACATCAGAGCCTAAAAAGTAATACTTGCTAAGGTTTTAAACAGTTGCTTGGTTACTTGCTAAGGTTTTAAACAGTTGCTTGGTTACTTGCTCTGGTTTTAATCTAAAAAGAATATTTAAAGTTATTTTTGTTAACTGTAATATTATTATATTGCTACCTACTAAATTTTAAACAAAACTTACTCATTGAAAACTTGACAGAGCTTTCTCCGGATATTGAAAAATCACTGGTTAAAGTTGATTTTGTTTTTTGAGTGGAATCGCCGTCGGAAACGATGTTCTCGCCGGAAATAGCCGTTGAAACATTTCCTTCCACAACTAAAAAAAAAAACAACCAGCATATAGGACTGACGAAAAGTTATTATGTATAATTAGCAAAACATAGCTCAATATTTTTATAGCCAAACATAGCTCATATATTTGTTGCTATATGTTGCAATACTTATATACATATAATTAGTATAATTTCAGAAAATTCATTTTAAAGCAAGATTATGAAAGATTTTTGAAGAAGAAAAAAGATTTATATACTTCAAAAATACGATAGCATAATGAAAGCAGTGTCACATAATAAATTTAATTTTAGGTGTTAAATTCAAGTTTACGTTTAGGTGATTAGTAATAACTGGGTGTTTAAGTGATTAATAATAACTGGGTGTTTGCATAATAAAAATCAAGGATGATGTCAACGAAGCACTTACCCTCACCTTTTTGCAATGATACGGTTCTTTGTGTTTAAATCTTTATTTTTTGTATAATTTTAAACAAGTTCAAATTTATTTAAAATAATTTTAATTTAACAACTGTGTTTTTTCCGTGATAATTGAAAAAATTATAAATTAATTATAAATAAAAAAATAACTTTAAGAAATTCAACTGTGAAATAATAGTTAGTAAAATGGTATAAAAATGATTACTCCTATTTATGACTCATTGTTTTAAGGAGAACCCAGGATATAGTACTCTATGAATAGAATACTGTAGAGCTAGATATCATAGATATCAAGCTCTACAGCGTTTAGATAGATGTTTTATTTTTAGGATACTTAAAGTATCAGTTGACAGTATAAAAATGTTTGTAATGACATCAATGAAAGGGTTTTTATGTACGAAGATTTGCGTACGAAAACGTTTTAAATTATTTTTTTCTTTTCATATTTTTTTAAAGAAAAAATTTTTCAATAGGTAGAAAATTTTTAAAATAAATGCCAGAAAGAAACATTTATATTGTGTCAACTTAAAATGCTATAGTAGATACATATATTAACAATTATTTTTATATAAGTATAAATGCTATAGTAGATATACAAACATAATATTTTATAAACAAACATAAAAAATAGTAGAAAAATTAAAATAAATAATATAAATTTATTTTTTTATTTTTCATTAAATTTTTAAACAAAACAATTAGATACCTGTGGGCAAACCACTAGAGTTAGCAGAAGAATGTGTAACCGACAATGTAGAAGGTGTGTTTTTAGATACAGTTATAACAACATCAGGAATTTCAAAGCAATCGTCTCCTTTAACAGAGTGTGAATCCTTCAGATCAGAAGCTTTATCCTCTTTTGAATGAGATTCTGAATCAACTTTTTCAAGGTTATAATTGTCAGAATGCAAATGGAAAAACATTCCGATACGTCGAAGAAGACTAGGAGATTTAGGAGATTTGATATGATCATTTTTTGGAGAACTTGAAGATTCTATAATTACAAAGTCTTGTTTAACATCACCAATAGAAACTTCTTGTTTTAATGTACCAATTGAAACTTCTTGCTTAAATGCTTTTTTATCTACAGTACTCAAATTCTTGTTTTCATGAGTTCTATCATCAGAAAGGGACTGGGATTTAGGTTTAGGTTCACTTTTTTGAAAGAACTTTTGCAAAAACGATGCTGATCTTGGACTTGCATTAACTGATAAATCTTGATTATCAATTAAAGAATTCTCACCGATATCGATGGCAACAAAAGAGTCCGAAGGAGCAATTTCGCCAGATGGTTGGCTGAGTTCTCCATGAGAATCTAACTCAGGAGACTCAACAGAAGGCTTTTCCAAAGAACAAAAAAAATTTGAATTGTTCTTTGATTTCTTATTGTTACCAAACAAATGACGCTTTTTATTTTTCTTAGAAACCTTATCACTACACTCAGAAACACCAGAAAGAGTAACATTCATTTTACCACCAGAAATATGAGTTTCAGAAACATCACTTGTAGATTTTAAGTCAAGTGGATCGACAGATATATCAGAACTTAAGTTACCACCAGCAACTAGATCAGAACCACAAGAATCTGCTTTGCTACTTCCACCAAACTTTGGCATTTTCAATTTGAAACCGAGGGAAGACTTATCATTATCTTTCCTTTTCTTAGCAACTTTATTTGTATCAACAACAGAGGTAGAAGAATCGTTGGAAAGATTTGAAGTATTTGATGTAACGTTCAACCCTTTCGCATCATAACCAGGATAGTTTCCTTTAGAGAACGAAGCATTGATATCAACATTGCCTGAAGGCAATTTAGCAGAAACATCAACATCAGGTCCTTCAACTTTAGATTTCAAATGGGGTACATCCACATCAGCAGATATTCCACCTTTCAACTTTCCATCAACATCAACTTCTGGACCATGTATATCTGCTTTACCACTTCCGCCAAACTTTGGCATCTTCATTCCAAATCCGAATCCAGACTTGTCTTTGTCCTTTTTCTTTTTACCTTTCTCACTGTCATCGTCAGAATCAGAGTCTTCGCCAGTATCTTTCTTCTTTTTACCACTAACGTTCAATCCGAGTCCGCCTTTAACATCAATACCAGGAATGCTTCCTTTACCATGCGGAGCATTGATATCAACATTGCCTGAAGGCAATTTAGCAGAAACATCAACATCAGGTCCTTCAACTTTAGATTTCAAATGGGGTACATCCACATCAGCAGATATTCCACCTTTCAACTTTCCATCAACATCAACTTCTGGACCATGTATATCTGCTTTACCACTTCCGCCAAACTTTGGCATCTTCATTCCAAATCCGAATCCAGACTTGTCTTTGTCCTTTTTCTTTTTACCTTTCTCGCTGTCATCGTCAGAATCAGAGTCTTCGCCAGTATCTTTCTTCTTTTTACCACTAACGTTCAATCCGAGTCCGCCTTTAACATCAATACCAGGAATGCTTCCTTTACCATGCGGAGCATTGATATCAACATTGCCTGAAGGCAATTTAGCAGAAACATCAACATCAGGTCCTTCAACTTTAGATTTCAAATGGGGTACATCCACATCAGCAGATATTCCACCTTTCAACTTTCCATCAACATCAACTTCTGGACCATGTATATCTGCTTTACCACTTCCGCCAAACTTTGGCATCTTCATTCCAAATCCGAATCCAGACTTGTCTTTGTCCTTTTTCTTTTTACCTTTCTCGCTGTCATCGTCAGAATCAGAGTCTTCGCCAGTATCTTTCTTCTTTTTACCACTAACGTTCAATCCGAGTCCGCCTTTAACATCAATACCAGGAATGCTTCCTTTACCATGCGGAGCATTGATATCAACATTGCCTGAAGGCAATTTAGCAGAAACATCAACATCAGGTCCTTCAACTTTAGATTTCAAATGGGGTACATCCACATCAGCAGATATTCCACCTTTCAACTTTCCATCAACATCAACTTCTGGACCATGTATATCTGCTTTACCACTTCCGCCAAACTTTGGCATCTTCATTCCAAATCCGAATCCAGACTTGTCTTTGTCCTTTTTCTTTTTACCTTTCTCGCTGTCATCGTCAGAATCAGAGTCTTCGCCAGTATCTTTCTTCTTTTTACCACTAACGTTCAATCCGAGTCCGCCTTTAACATCAATACCAGGAATGCTTCCTTTACCATGCGGAGCATTGATATCAACATTGCCTGAAGGCAATTTAGCAGAAACATCAACATCAGGTCCTTCAACTTTAGATTTCAAATGGGGTACATCCACATCAGCAGATATTCCACCTTTCAACTTTCCATCAACATCAACTTCTGGACCATGTATATCTGCTTTACCACTTCCGCCAAACTTTGGCATCTTCATTCCAAATCCGAATCCAGACTTGTCTTTGTCCTTTTTCTTTTTACCTTTCTCTTTGTCATCGTCAGAATCAGAGTCTTCGCCAGTATCTTTCTTCTTTTTACCACTAACGTTCAATCCGAGTCCGCCTTTAACATCAATACCAGGAATGCTTCCTTTACCATGCGGAGCATTGATATCAACATTGCCTGAAGGCAATTTAGCAGAAACATCAACATCAGGTCCTTCAACTTTAGATTTCAAATGAGGTACATCAACATCAGCAGATGTTGCACCTTTCAACTTTCCATCAACATCAACATCAGGCCCATGTTTATGACCTTTAAAACTTCCGCCAAACTTTGGCATCTTCATTCCAAATCCGAATCCAGACTTGTCTTTGTCCTTTCTCTTTTTACCTTTCTCGCTGTCATCGTCAGAATCAGAGTCTTCGCCAGTATCTTTCTTCTTTTTACCACTAACGTTCAATCCGAGTCCGCCTTTAACATCAATACCAGGAATGCTTCCTTTACCATGCTGAGCATTGATATCAACATTGCCTGAAGGCAATTTAGCAGAAACATCAACATCAGGTCCTTCAACTTTAGATTTCAAATGGGGTACATCCACATCAGCAGATATTCCACCTTTCAACTTTCCATCAACATCAACTTCTGGACCATGTATATCTGCTTTACCACTTCCGCCAAACTTTGGCATCTTCATTCCAAATCCGAATCCAGACTTGTCTTTGTCCTTTTTCTTTTTACCTTTCTCGCTGTCATCGTCAGAATCAGAGTCTTCGCCAGTATCTTTCTTCTTTTTACCACTAACGTTCAATCCGAGTCCGCCTTTAACATCAATACCAGGAATGCTTCCTTTACCATGCGGAGCATTGATATCAACATTGCCTGAAGGCAATTTATCAAAAACATCAACATCAGGTCCTTCAACTTTAGATTTCAAATGGGGTACATCCACATCAGCAGATATTCCACCTTTCAACTTTCCATTAACGTCAACATCAGGCCCATGTTTATGACCTTTGACACTTCCGCCAAACTTTGGCATCTTCATTCCAAATCCGAATCCAGACTTGTCTTTGTCCTTTTTCTTTTTACCTTTCTCGCTGTCATCGTCAGAATCAGAGTCTTCGCCAGTATCTTTCTTCTTTTTACCACTAAAGTTCAATCCGAGTCCGCCTTTAACATCAATACCAGGAATGCTTCCTTTACCATGCGGAGCATTGATATCAACATTGCCTGAAGGCAATTTAGCAGAAACATCAACATCAGGTCCTTCAACTTTAGATTTCAAATGGGGTACATCCACATCAGCAGATATTCCACCTTTCAACTTTCCATCAACATCAACTTCTGGACCATGTATATCTGCTTTACCACTTCCGCCAAACTTTGGCATCTTCATTCCAAATCCGAATCCAGACTTGTCTTTGTCCTTTTTCTTTTTACCTTTCTCGCTGTCATCGTCAGAATCAGAGTCTTCGCCAGTATCTTTCTTCTTTTTACCACTAACGTTCAATCCGAGTCCGCCTTTAACATCAATACCAGGAATGCTTCCTTTACCATGCGGAGCATTGATATCAACATTGCCTGAAGGCAATTTAGCAGAAACATCAACATCAGGTCCTTCAACTTTAGATTTCAAATGGGGTACATCCACATCAGCAGATATTCCACCTTTCAACTTTCCATCAACATCAACTTCTGGACCATGTATATCTGCTTTACCACTTCCGCCAAACTTTGGCATCTTCATTCCAAATCCGAATCCAGACTTGTCTTTGTCCTTTTTCTTTTTACCTTTCTCGCTGTCATCGTCAGAATCAGAGTCTTCGCCAGTATCTTTCTTCTTTTTACCACTAACGTTCAATCCGAGTCCGCCTTTAACATCAATACCAGGAATGCTTCCTTTACCATGCGGAGCATTGATATCAACATTGCCTGAAGGCAATTTAGCAGAAACATCAACATCAGGTCCTTCAACTTTAGATTTCAAATGGGGTACATCCACATCAGCAGATATTCCACCTTTCAACTTTCCATCAACATCAACTTCTGGACCATGTATATCTGCCTTTGACCACTTCCGCCAAACTTTGGCATCTTCATTCCAAATCCGAATCCAGACTTGTCTTTGTCCTTTTTCTTTTTACCTTTCTCGCTGTCATCGTCAGAATCAGAGTCTTCGCCAGTATCTTTCTTCTTTTTACCACTAACGTTCAATCCGAGTCCGCCTTTAACATCAATACCAGGAATGCTTCCTTTACCATGCGGAGCATTGATATCAACATTGCCTGAAGGCAATTTAGCAGAAACATCAACATCAGGTCCTTCAACTTTAGATTTCAAATGGGGTACATCCACATCAGCAGATATTCCACCTTTCAACTTTCCATCAACATCAACTTCTGGACCATGTATATCTGCTTTACCACTTCCGCCAAACTTTGGCATCTTCATTCCAAATCCGAATCCAGACTTGTCTTTGTCCTTTTTCTTTTTACCTTTCTCGCTGTCATCGTCAGAATCAGAGTCTTCGCCAGTATCTTTCTTCTTTTTACCACTAACGTTCAATCCGAGTCCGCCTTTAACATCAATACCAGGAATGCTTCCTTTACCATGCGGAGCATTGATATCAACATTGCCTGAAGGCAATTTAGCAGAAACATCAACATCAGGTCCTTCAACTTTAGATTTCAAATGGGGTACATCCACATCAGCAGATATTCCACCTTTCAACTTTCCATCAACATCAACTTCTGGACCATGTATATCTGCTTTACCACTTCCGCCAAACTTTGGCATCTTCATTCCAAATCCGAATCCAGACTTGTCTTTGTCCTTTTTCTTTTTACCTTTCTCGCTGTCATCGTCAGAATCAGAGTCTTCGCCAGTATCTTTCTTCTTTTTACCACTAACGTTCAATCCGAGTCCGCCTTTAACATCAATACCAGGAATGCTTCCTTTACCATGCGGAGCATTGATATCAACATTGCCTGAAGGCAATTTAGCAGAAACATCAACATCAGGTCCTTCAACTTTAGATTTCAAATGGGGTACATCCACATCAGCAGATATTCCACCTTTCAACTTTCCATCAACATCAACTTCTGGACCATGTATATCTGCTTTACCACTTCCGCCAAACTTTGGCATCTTCATTCCAAATCCGAATCCAGACTTGTCTTTGTCCTTTTTCTTTTTACCTTTCTCGCTGTCATCGTCAGAATCAGAGTCTTCGCCAGTATCTTTCTTCTTTTTACCACTAACGTTCAATCCGAGTCCGCCTTTAACATCAATACCAGGAATGCTTCCTTTACCATGCGGAGCATTGATATCAACATTGCCTGAAGGCAATTTAGCAGAAACATCAACATCAGGTCCTTCAACTTTAGATTTCAAATGGGGTACATCCACATCAGCAGATATTCCACCTTTCAACTTTCCATCAACATCAACTTCTGGACCATGTATATCTGCTTTACCACTTCCGCCAAACTTTGGCATCTTCATTCCAAATCCGAATCCAGACTTGTCTTTGTCCTTTTTCTTTTTACCTTTCTCGCTGTCATCGTCAGAATCAGAGTCTTCGCCAGTATCTTTCTTCTTTTTACCACTAACGTTCAATCCGAGTCCGCCTTTAACATCAATACCAGGAATGCTTCCTTTACCATGCGGAGCATTGATATCAACATTGCCTGAAGGCAATTTAGCAGAAACATCAACATCAGGTCCTTCAACTTTAGATTTCAAATGGGGTACATCCACATCAGCAGATATTCCACCTTTCAACTTTCCATCAACATCAACTTCTGGACCATGTATATCTGCTTTACCACTTCCGCCAAACTTTGGCATCTTCATTCCAAATCCGAATCCAGACTTGTCTTTGTCCTTTTTCTTTTTACCTTTCTCGCTGTCATCGTCAGAATCAGAGTCTTCGCCAGTATCTTTCTTCTTTTTACCACTAACGTTCAATCCGAGTCCGCCTTTAACATCAATACCAGGAATGCTTCCTTTACCATGCGGAGCATTGATATCAACATTGCCTGAAGGCAATTTAGCAGAAACATCAACATCAGGTCCTTCAACTTTAGATTTCAAATGGGGTACATCCACATCAGCAGATATTCCACCTTTCAACTTTCCATCAACATCAACTTCTGGACCATGTATATCTGCTTTACCACTTCCGCCAAACTTTGGCATCTTCATTCCAAATCCGAATCCAGACTTGTCTTTGTCCTTTTTCTTTTTACCTTTCTCGCTGTCATCGTCAGAATCAGAGTCTTCGCCAGTATCTTTCTTCTTTTTACCACTAACGTTCAATCCGAGTCCGCCTTTAACATCAATACCAGGAATGCTTCCTTTACCATGCGGAGCATTGATATCAACATTGCCTGAAGGCAATTTAGCAGAAACATCAACATCAGGTCCTTCAACTTTAGATTTCAAATGGGGTACATCCACATCAGCAGATATTCCACCTTTCAACTTTCCATCAACATCAACTTCTGGACCATGTATATCTGCTTTACCACTTCCGCCAAACTTTGGCATCTTCATTCCAAATCCGAATCCAGACTTGTCTTTGTCCTTTTTCTTTTTACCTTTCTCGCTGTCATCGTCAGAATCAGAGTCTTCGCCAGTATCTTTCTTCTTTTTACCACTAACGTTCAATCCGAGTCCGCCTTTAACATCAATACCAGGAATGCTTCCTTTACCATGCGGAGCATTGATATCAACATTGCCTGAAGGCAATTTAGCAGAAACATCAACATCAGGTCCTTCAACTTTAGATTTCAAATGGGGTACATCCACATCAGCAGATATTCCACCTTTCAACTTTCCATCAACATCAACTTCTGGACCATGTATATCTGCTTTACCACTTCCGCCAAACTTTGGCATCTTCATTCCAAATCCGAATCCAGACTTGTCTTTGTCCTTTTTCTTTTTACCTTTCTCGCTGTCATCGTCAGAATCAGAGTCTTCGCCAGTATCTTTCTTCTTTTTACCACTAACGTTCAATCCGAGTCCGCCTTTAACATCAATACCAGGAATGCTTCCTTTACCATGCGGAGCATTGATATCAACATTGCCTGAAGGCAATTTAGCAGAAACATCAACATCAGGTCCTTCAACTTTAGATTTCAAATGGGGTACATCCACATCAGCAGATATTCCACCTTTCAACTTTCCATCAACATCAACTTCTGGACCATGTATATCTGCTTTACCACTTCCGCCAAACTTTGGCATCTTCATTCCAAATCCGAATCCAGACTTGTCTTTGTCCTTTTTCTTTTTACCTTTCTCGCTGTCATCGTCAGAATCAGAGTCTTCGCCAGTATCTTTCTTCTTTTTACCACTAACGTTCAATCCGAGTCCGCCTTTAACATCAATACCAGGAATGCTTCCTTTACCATGCGGAGCATTGATATCAACATTGCCTGAAGGCAATTTAGCAGAAACATCAACATCAGGTCCTTCAACTTTAGATTTCAAATGGGGTACATCCACATCAGCAGATATTCCACCTTTCAACTTTCCATCAACATCAACTTCTGGACCATGTATATCTGCTTTACCACTTCCGCCAAACTTTGGCATCTTCATTCCAAATCCGAATCCAGACTTGTCTTTGTCCTTTTTCTTTTTACCTTTCTCGCTGTCATCGTCAGAATCAGAGTCTTCGCCAGTATCTTTCTTCTTTTTACCACTAACGTTCAATCCGAGTCCGCCTTTAACATCAATACCAGGAATGCTTCCTTTACCATGCGGAGCATTGATATCAACATTGCCTGAAGGCAATTTAGCAGAAACATCAACATCAGGTCCTTCAACTTTAGATTTCAAATGGGGTACATCCACATCAGCAGATATTCCACCTTTCAACTTTCCATCAACATCAACTTCTGGACCATGTATATCTGCTTTACCACTTCCGCCAAACTTTGGCATCTTCATTCCAAATCCGAATCCAGACTTGTCTTTGTCCTTTTTCTTTTTACCTTTCTCGCTGTCATCGTCAGAATCAGAGTCTTCGCCAGTATCTTTCTTCTTTTTACCACTAACGTTCAATCCGAGTCCGCCTTTAACATCAATACCAGGAATGCTTCCTTTACCATGCGGAGCATTGATATCAACATTGCCTGAAGGCAATTTAGCAGAAACATCAACATCAGGTCCTTCAACTTTAGATTTCAAATGGGGTACATCCACATCAGCAGATATTCCACCTTTCAACTTTCCATCAACATCAACTTCTGGACCATGTATATCTGCTTTACCACTTCCGCCAAACTTTGGCATCTTCATTCCAAATCCGAATCCAGACTTGTCTTTGTCCTTTTTCTTTTTACCTTTCTCGCTGTCATCGTCAGAATCAGAGTCTTCGCCAGTATCTTTCTTCTTTTTACCACTAACGTTCAATCCGAGTCCGCCTTTAACATCAATACCAGGAATGCTTCCTTTACCATGCGGAGCATTGATATCAACATTGCCTGAAGGCAATTTAGCAGAAACATCAACATCAGGTCCTTCAACTTTAGATTTCAAATGGGGTACATCCACATCAGCAGATATTCCACCTTTCAACTTTCCATCAACATCAACTTCTGGACCATGTATATCTGCTTTACCACTTCCGCCAAACTTTGGCATCTTCATTCCAAATCCGAATCCAGACTTGTCTTTGTCCTTTTTCTTTTTACCTTTCTCGCTGTCATCGTCAGAATCAGAGTCTTCGCCAGTATCTTTCTTCTTTTTACCACTAACGTTCAATCCGAGTCCGCCTTTAACATCAATACCAGGAATGCTTCCTTTACCATGCGGAGCATTGATATCAACATTGCCTGAAGGCAATTTAGCAGAAACATCAACATCAGGTCCTTCAACTTTAGATTTCAAATGGGGTACATCCACATCAGCAGATATTCCACCTTTCAACTTTCCATCAACATCAACTTCTGGACCATGTATATCTGCTTTACCACTTCCGCCAAACTTTGGCATCTTCATTCCAAATCCGAATCCAGACTTGTCTTTGTCCTTTTTCTTTTTACCTTTCTCGCTGTCATCGTCAGAATCAGAGTCTTCGCCAGTATCTTTCTTCTTTTTACCACTAACGTTCAATCCGAGTCCGCCTTTAACATCAATACCAGGAATGCTTCCTTTACCATGCGGAGCATTGATATCAACATTGCCTGAAGGCAATTTAGCAGAAACATCAACATCAGGTCCTTCAACTTTAGATTTCAAATGGGGTACATCCACATCAGCAGATATTCCACCTTTCAACTTTCCATCAACATCAACTTCTGGACCATGTATATCTGCTTTACCACTTCCGCCAAACTTTGGCATCTTCATTCCAAATCCGAATCCAGACTTGTCTTTGTCCTTTTTCTTTTTACCTTTCTCGCTGTCATCGTCAGAATCAGAGTCTTCGCCAGTATCTTTCTTCTTTTTACCACTAACGTTCAATCCGAGTCCGCCTTTAACATCAATACCAGGAATGCTTCCTTTACCATGCGGAGCATTGATATCAACATTGCCTGAAGGCAATTTAGCAGAAACATCAACATCAGGTCCTTCAACTTTAGATTTCAAATGGGGTACATCCACATCAGCAGATATTCCACCTTTCAACTTTCCATCAACATCAACTTCTGGACCATGTATATCTGCTTTACCACTTCCGCCAAACTTTGGCATCTTCATTCCAAATCCGAATCCAGACTTGTCTTTGTCCTTTTTCTTTTTACCTTTCTCGCTGTCATCGTCAGAATCAGAGTCTTCGCCAGTATCTTTCTTCTTTTTACCACTAACGTTCAATCCGAGTCCGCCTTTAACATCAATACCAGGAATGCTTCCTTTACCATGCGGAGCATTGATATCAACATTGCCTGAAGGCAATTTAGCAGAAACATCAACATCAGGTCCTTCAACTTTAGATTTCAAATGGGGTACATCCACATCAGCAGATATTCCACCTTTCAACTTTCCATCAACATCAACTTCTGGACCATGTATATCTGCTTTACCACTTCCGCCAAACTTTGGCATCTTCATTCCAAATCCGAATCCAGACTTGTCTTTGTCCTTTTTCTTTTTACCTTTCTCGCTGTCATCGTCAGAATCAGAGTCTTCGCCAGTATCTTTCTTCTTTTTACCACTAACGTTCAATCCGAGTCCGCCTTTAACATCAATACCAGGAATGCTTCCTTTACCATGCGGAGCATTGATATCAACATTGCCTGAAGGCAATTTAGCAGAAACATCAACATCAGGTCCTTCAACTTTAGATTTCAAATGGGGTACATCCACATCAGCAGATATTCCACCTTTCAACTTTCCATCAACATCAACTTCTGGACCATGTATATCTGCTTTACCACTTCCGCCAAACTTTGGCATCTTCATTCCAAATCCGAATCCAGACTTGTCTTTGTCCTTTTTCTTTTTACCTTTCTCGCTGTCATCGTCAGAATCAGAGTCTTCGCCAGTATCTTTCTTCTTTTTACCACTAACGTTCAATCCGAGTCCGCCTTTAACATCAATACCAGGAATGCTTCCTTTACCATGCGGAGCATTGATATCAACATTGCCTGAAGGCAATTTAGCAGAAACATCAACATCAGGTCCTTCAACTTTAGATTTCAAATGGGGTACATCCACATCAGCAGATATTCCACCTTTCAACTTTCCATCAACATCAACTTCTGGACCATGTATATCTGCTTTACCACTTCCGCCAAACTTTGGCATCTTCATTCCAAATCCGAATCCAGACTTGTCTTTGTCCTTTTTCTTTTTACCTTTCTCGCTGTCATCGTCAGAATCAGAGTCTTCGCCAGTATCTTTCTTCTTTTTACCACTAACGTTCAATCCGAGTCCGCCTTTAACATCAATACCAGGAATGCTTCCTTTACCATGCGGAGCATTGATATCAACATTGCCTGAAGGCAATTTAGCAGAAACATCAACATCAGGTCCTTCAACTTTAGATTTCAAATGGGGTACATCCACATCAGCAGATATTCCACCTTTCAACTTTCCATCAACATCAACTTCTGGACCATGTATATCTGCTTTACCACTTCCGCCAAACTTTGGCATCTTCATTCCAAATCCGAATCCAGACTTGTCTTTGTCCTTTTTCTTTTTACCTTTCTCGCTGTCATCGTCAGAATCAGAGTCTTCGCCAGTATCTTTCTTCTTTTTACCACTAACGTTCAATCCGAGTCCGCCTTTAACATCAATACCAGGAATGCTTCCTTTACCATGCGGAGCATTGATATCAACATTGCCTGAAGGCAATTTAGCAGAAACATCAACATCAGGTCCTTCAACTTTAGATTTCAAATGGGGTACATCCACATCAGCAGATATTCCACCTTTCAACTTTCCATCAACATCAACTTCTGGACCATGTATATCTGCTTTACCACTTCCGCCAAACTTTGGCATCTTCATTCCAAATCCGAATCCAGACTTGTCTTTGTCCTTTTTCTTTTTACCTTTCTCGCTGTCATCGTCAGAATCAGAGTCTTCGCCAGTATCTTTCTTCTTTTTACCACTAACGTTCAATCCGAGTCCGCCTTTAACATCAATACCAGGAATGCTTCCTTTACCATGCGGAGCATTGATATCAACATTGCCTGAAGGCAATTTAGCAGAAACATCAACATCAGGTCCTTCAACTTTAGATTTCAAATGGGGTACATCCACATCAGCAGATATTCCACCTTTCAACTTTCCATCAACATCAACTTCTGGACCATGTATATCTGCTTTACCACTTCCGCCAAACTTTGGCATCTTCATTCCAAATCCGAATCCAGACTTGTCTTTGTCCTTTTTCTTTTTACCTTTCTCGCTGTCATCGTCAGAATCAGAGTCTTCGCCAGTATCTTTCTTCTTTTTACCACTAACGTTCAATCCGAGTCCGCCTTTAACATCAATACCAGGAATGCTTCCTTTACCATGCGGAGCATTGATATCAACATTGCCTGAAGGCAATTTAGCAGAAACATCAACATCAGGTCCTTCAACTTTAGATTTCAAATGGGGTACATCCACATCAGCAGATATTCCACCTTTCAACTTTCCATCAACATCAACTTCTGGACCATGTATATCTGCTTTACCACTTCCGCCAAACTTTGGCATCTTCATTCCAAATCCGAATCCAGACTTGTCTTTGTCCTTTTTCTTTTTACCTTTCTCGCTGTCATCGTCAGAATCAGAGTCTTCGCCAGTATCTTTCTTCTTTTTACCACTAACGTTCAATCCGAGTCCGCCTTTAACATCAATACCAGGAATGCTTCCTTTACCATGCGGAGCATTGATATCAACATTGCCTGAAGGCAATTTAGCAGAAACATCAACATCAGGTCCTTCAACTTTAGATTTCAAATGGGGTACATCCACATCAGCAGATATTCCACCTTTCAACTTTCCATCAACATCAACTTCTGGACCATGTATATCTGCTTTACCACTTCCGCCAAACTTTGGCATCTTCATTCCAAATCCGAATCCAGACTTGTCTTTGTCCTTTTTCTTTTTACCTTTCTCGCTGTCATCGTCAGAATCAGAGTCTTCGCCAGTATCTTTCTTCTTTTTACCACTAACGTTCAATCCGAGTCCGCCTTTAACATCAATACCAGGAATGCTTCCTTTACCATGCGGAGCATTGATATCAACATTGCCTGAAGGCAATTTAGCAGAAACATCAACATCAGGTCCTTCAACTTTAGATTTCAAATGGGGTACATCCACATCAGCAGATATTCCACCTTTCAACTTTCCATCAACATCAACTTCTGGACCATGTATATCTGCTTTACCACTTCCGCCAAACTTTGGCATCTTCATTCCAAATCCGAATCCAGACTTGTCTTTGTCCTTTTTCTTTTTACCTTTCTCGCTGTCATCGTCAGAATCAGAGTCTTCGCCAGTATCTTTCTTCTTTTTACCACTAACGTTCAATCCGAGTCCGCCTTTAACATCAATACCAGGAATGCTTCCTTTACCATGCGGAGCATTGATATCAACATTGCCTGAAGGCAATTTAGCAGAAACATCAACATCAGGTCCTTCAACTTTAGATTTCAAATGGGGTACATCCACATCAGCAGATATTCCACCTTTCAACTTTCCATCAACATCAACTTCTGGACCATGTATATCTGCTTTACCACTTCCGCCAAACTTTGGCATCTTCATTCCAAATCCGAATCCAGACTTGTCTTTGTCCTTTTTCTTTTTACCTTTCTCGCTGTCATCGTCAGAATCAGAGTCTTCGCCAGTATCTTTCTTCTTTTTACCACTAACGTTCAATCCGAGTCCGCCTTTAACATCAATACCAGGAATGCTTCCTTTACCATGCGGAGCATTGATATCAACATTGCCTGAAGGCAATTTAGCAGAAACATCAACATCAGGTCCTTCAACTTTAGATTTCAAATGGGGTACATCCACATCAGCAGATATTCCACCTTTCAACTTTCCATCAACATCAACTTCTGGACCATGTATATCTGCTTTACCACTTCCGCCAAACTTTGGCATCTTCATTCCAAATCCGAATCCAGACTTGTCTTTGTCCTTTTTCTTTTTACCTTTCTCGCTGTCATCGTCAGAATCAGAGTCTTCGCCAGTATCTTTCTTCTTTTTACCACTAACGTTCAATCCGAGTCCGCCTTTAACATCAATACCAGGAATGCTTCCTTTACCATGCGGAGCATTGATATCAACATTGCCTGAAGGCAATTTAGCAGAAACATCAACATCAGGTCCTTCAACTTTAGATTTCAAATGGGGTACATCCACATCAGCAGATATTCCACCTTTCAACTTTCCATCAACATCAACTTCTGGACCATGTATATCTGCTTTACCACTTCCGCCAAACTTTGGCATCTTCATTCCAAATCCGAATCCAGACTTGTCTTTGTCCTTTTTCTTTTTACCTTTCTCGCTGTCATCGTCAGAATCAGAGTCTTCGCCAGTATCTTTCTTCTTTTTACCACTAACGTTCAATCCGAGTCCGCCTTTAACATCAATACCAGGAATGCTTCCTTTACCATGCGGAGCATTGATATCAACATTGCCTGAAGGCAATTTAGCAGAAACATCAACATCAGGTCCTTCAACTTTAGATTTCAAATGGGGTACATCCACATCAGCAGATATTCCACCTTTCAACTTTCCATCAACATCAACTTCTGGACCATGTATATCTGCTTTACCACTTCCGCCAAACTTTGGCATCTTCATTCCAAATCCGAATCCAGACTTGTCTTTGTCCTTTTTCTTTTTACCTTTCTCGCTGTCATCGTCAGAATCAGAGTCTTCGCCAGTATCTTTCTTCTTTTTACCACTAACGTTCAATCCGAGTCCGCCTTTAACATCAATACCAGGAATGCTTCCTTTACCATGCGGAGCATTGATATCAACATTGCCTGAAGGCAATTTAGCAGAAACATCAACATCAGGTCCTTCAACTTTAGATTTCAAATGGGGTACATCCACATCAGCAGATATTCCACCTTTCAACTTTCCATCAACATCAACTTCTGGACCATGTATATCTGCTTTACCACTTCCGCCAAACTTTGGCATCTTCATTCCAAATCCGAATCCAGACTTGTCTTTGTCCTTTTTCTTTTTACCTTTCTCGCTGTCATCGTCAGAATCAGAGTCTTCGCCAGTATCTTTCTTCTTTTTACCACTAACGTTCAATCCGAGTCCGCCTTTAACATCAATACCAGGAATGCTTCCTTTACCATGCGGAGCATTGATATCAACATTGCCTGAAGGCAATTTAGCAGAAACATCAACATCAGGTCCTTCAACTTTAGATTTCAAATGGGGTACATCCACATCAGCAGATATTCCACCTTTCAACTTTCCATCAACATCAACTTCTGGACCATGTATATCTGCTTTACCACTTCCGCCAAACTTTGGCATCTTCATTCCAAATCCGAATCCAGACTTGTCTTTGTCCTTTTTCTTTTTACCTTTCTCGCTGTCATCGTCAGAATCAGAGTCTTCGCCAGTATCTTTCTTCTTTTTACCACTAACGTTCAATCCGAGTCCGCCTTTAACATCAATACCAGGAATGCTTCCTTTACCATGCGGAGCATTGATATCAACATTGCCTGAAGGCAATTTAGCAGAAACATCAACATCAGGTCCTTCAACTTTAGATTTCAAATGGGGTACATCCACATCAGCAGATATTCCACCTTTCAACTTTCCATCAACATCAACTTCTGGACCATGTATATCTGCTTTACCACTTCCGCCAAACTTTGGCATCTTCATTCCAAATCCGAATCCAGACTTGTCTTTGTCCTTTTTCTTTTTACCTTTCTCGCTGTCATCGTCAGAATCAGAGTCTTCGCCAGTATCTTTCTTCTTTTTACCACTAACGTTCAATCCGAGTCCGCCTTTAACATCAATACCAGGAATGCTTCCTTTACCATGCGGAGCATTGATATCAACATTGCCTGAAGGCAATTTAGCAGAAACATCAACATCAGGTCCTTCAACTTTAGATTTCAAATGGGGTACATCCACATCAGCAGATATTCCACCTTTCAACTTTCCATCAACATCAACTTCTGGACCATGTATATCTGCTTTACCACTTCCGCCAAACTTTGGCATCTTCATTCCAAATCCGAATCCAGACTTGTCTTTGTCCTTTTTCTTTTTACCTTTCTCGCTGTCATCGTCAGAATCAGAGTCTTCGCCAGTATCTTTCTTCTTTTTACCACTAACGTTCAATCCGAGTCCGCCTTTAACATCAATACCAGGAATGCTTCCTTTACCATGCGGAGCATTGATATCAACATTGCCTGAAGGCAATTTAGCAGAAACATCAACATCAGGTCCTTCAACTTTAGATTTCAAATGGGGTACATCCACATCAGCAGATATTCCACCTTTCAACTTTCCATCAACATCAACTTCTGGACCATGTATATCTGCTTTACCACTTCCGCCAAACTTTGGCATCTTCATTCCAAATCCGAATCCAGACTTGTCTTTGTCCTTTTTCTTTTTACCTTTCTCGCTGTCATCGTCAGAATCAGAGTCTTCGCCAGTATCTTTCTTCTTTTTACCACTAACGTTCAATCCGAGTCCGCCTTTAACATCAATACCAGGAATGCTTCCTTTACCATGCGGAGCATTGATATCAACATTGCCTGAAGGCAATTTAGCAGAAACATCAACATCAGGTCCTTCAACTTTAGATTTCAAATGGGGTACATCCACATCAGCAGATATTCCACCTTTCAACTTTCCATCAACATCAACTTCTGGACCATGTATATCTGCTTTACCACTTCCGCCAAACTTTGGCATCTTCATTCCAAATCCGAATCCAGACTTGTCTTTGTCCTTTTTCTTTTTACCTTTCTCGCTGTCATCGTCAGAATCAGAGTCTTCGCCAGTATCTTTCTTCTTTTTACCACTAACGTTCAATCCGAGTCCGCCTTTAACATCAATACCAGGAATGCTTCCTTTACCATGCGGAGCATTGATATCAACATTGCCTGAAGGCAATTTAGCAGAAACATCAACATCAGGTCCTTCAACTTTAGATTTCAAATGGGGTACATCCACATCAGCAGATATTCCACCTTTCAACTTTCCATCAACATCAACTTCTGGACCATGTATATCTGCTTTACCACTTCCGCCAAACTTTGGCATCTTCATTCCAAATCCGAATCCAGACTTGTCCTTTTTCTTTTTACCTTTCTCGCTGTCATCGTCAGAATCAGAGTCTTCGCCAGTATCTTTCTTCTTTTTACCACTAACGTTCAATCCGAGTCCGCCTTTAACATCAATACCAGGAATGCTTCCTTTACCATGCGGAGCATTGATATCAACATTGCCTGAAGGCAATTTAGCAGAAACATCAACATCAGGTCCTTCAACTTTAGATTTCAAATGGGGTACATCCACATCAGCAGATATTCCACCTTTCAACTTTCCATCAACATCAACTTCTGGACCATGTATATCTGCTTTACCACTTCCGCCAAACTTTGGCATCTTCATTCCAAATCCGAATCCAGACTTGTCCTTTTTCTTTTTACCTTTCTCGCTGTCATCGTCAGAATCAGAGTCTTCGCCAGTATCTTTCTTCTTTTTACCACTAACGTTCAAT